CCATGTACAAAATTGGTTGTTCCCAGAGTGTGTTGCGTACAAAAATGCATCCCTGCTCAGTCAAGCTTGCAAATTGAATAATTCAACTTCCAAAGTATTCCAGTACCGTAATAGCGCAGCTTATGCTATTGCCTATAATATCATGTCTTGGTGCATTTTGATTACCAGCGATTATTCAGACTCCAGAATGCATGTTGCAGCTGTTGCTTCTCAGTTGTATCACATGCTATTAAAATTGCTAAAGTTTAACACGTTTGTAGCCCCTCCCCCCATTTTTATTAATTCACTGAATCCATTGCAGTCGCCCACCTTGATCTGCACATCCCTTTTTTTTTTCTTCTCTCCCTGGAGTCTCTCCTTAACCCACCTAGTCTTGGAAATATTAGCTGAAAATAAATCCCCAAAAAGCCATACATTGCTCTGTTGATTTTTTTATTTTTTATTTTTTTTTTGCTTTTGCTGTGAAGTTCGTTGCCCTGTGATTTTTTGGGAGTTCCATCGCTGCAGAGACCAACCTACTCACACTTGGACTCTTTGGGAGTACAGAGGTGCAGGGATCAGCCAACAAAAGCTCTGAATGACTTCACATCTAGTGCCGTGTAACCAGGCGTGCTGCCAAACAAACCTGTGAATCAGTCTCCGGGACAGTGGCCTGTGTGCGCTGCAGATCCCTCTCTTTATATTTTCGATGTTTAGCTGATACTTTTAGCTAAGGTGGATCAGAGTGATGCCTGTTTACACAGCTGTGTGTTTTATTGGAGCGATGCTGATTGGCTGGGGGGCCTCCCAGGATTTGAACCGACATCCATCAGGCTATGAGCCAGCATATCTGTAACCGCATACTGTACATCTACACTGTCTGGTCTACATGTAATTGCTTGCCTCGGGACCTTCCCCAGGTTTGTGAGATGGGCCAGGCCAGAGGTGGCAATTTCAGGTCCAGAAAGTACAAATCCAGACCATGATTCACTTTCAACCAACCAGTTGAGCATAAACTGGTTGGTTGAAACAAAATCTTGGTCTGGATTTGTACTTTCTGGACCTGAAATTGCCACCTCTGGACCAGGCACACTGTGTGGTCACGACCTGGTGGTGGAGGAAATTCTGGGAAGGCAGGGATGGGCTGAGATTACAGGATGACTTCAGTTCTCCTTTTTAAGATCAAAGCTTTATTCCCGATGCTTTGCACCCCTCACATTCCTGCTTGCATATGGCAAGTTCCCCACCCCCATCTCAGGCAGCTAGCAGTGTGCTTCTGCAGTGTGCTTCTGCAGTGTGCTTCTGCAGTGTGCTTCTGCAGTGTGCTTCTGCAGTGTGTGTCTAGATTGATTAAGCTAATGTAATATGTGAGATAATATGGCTCAGGCCCAGCAGCCTGCTGGATTAGGCGGAGCTTGTGTCTAAAACGGATCAATGGGGCCTTCTGTAGCCGATGCTCTCAGCTTGAACTGGTCAGTCGCTGCATTGAGCAGTGCACATGGATCTGTGGTATACGGCCTTTCTGTAGTGGCCGTCCAGTTTATTTCACAAGAGTTGTCCCAAGACACTTGTGTCAATCTGGAAGCTACTGTTCCTACCAAGAGTTGAAGATCTTCGGGAAGGAGACACAATCCGCTTTATTCCATATTTATTGTGATATTACCTGCTGGCTATGTTGGGAGATGGCGCGGCCTTCCGGACATGGAGGGGGGGGGGATTTTCCCAGCATCCTCGGGTTCGCTGGCGGCCGCACGCCACCGGATTTGGCCAGTGGCTGATGTAAACAGGAGCCCATCCGTCTCGCTCTCTCCCCGTGTCCATCTCCGCTTTCTATTTATACTGGCACTCTGCAGGATGGGTCCGGTTCCAGACGAGCGTCAGCCTCGCCTGCATCCCAAATCCCCTGCCCTTCAGCTCAAAGTGTCACCTGTCCTGCATCTACATTACAGCAATGCTACCCTTATCCACAGGGTGGCGCTCACTCGGTGACCAGCCTTTAGTATTATATGACATGTCTAACACATAGGACAACGTGACATCACCCGCTCAGTTAGGCCTGCAGTGATTCCTAGTTATGCCAATCAGTTACCGTATAGCTTTACCCAGACCTCTGCTTCCTTACTGTACACGCTCTGCATTTAAAAATAGCTGTGAAACATCACCCCCCACCCATGTCCCATAGGATTGCAACCAATCCGGCGCGGCGGTGCACCCTCTAAAAATAATAAGTCTGGGTTGCGCCTTGTCCTCTCGTGCCCGGTGAAGTCCCGTGGTTGGGCTCCGCTGGGGGGGGGGGGGGTCAGTAGGTTCACTGTGGGGTCCCATTCAAGGCCCTTTCCTGTCCCTGTGTCCCGGGGGCTGATGGAAGAGGCATCCCCCCAGGAGCGCGGCATGAAACATGCATGCCCAGCTGGCCAATGCGCTCGTGGGCGGGGGGGGCGGCTTTCTGACGTGGCTGAAGGCGGAATTCATCAGTGGAGGACAGATGGGACCGGCCCGCTGTGCTTCCTGGAGGGGAACCAAGTGCTACAGGGGAGAAAATGGCTGTATTGCCCTTGGTTTTTTTTATTTTTTTTATGCGAGTGTAATCTGATTTGGTCAGGTGAACCTTACTTCTGCTAACCAACTGCTAACCAGCTGGTAATCACCGACTGAGGCTCACATTTTGTGGTGACGGACCCTGTATGCATGAGTAAAGCAGCTTATTCTGAGCTGCGGACAGTCATGTGGTGATTGGATTGTTATGTTCTTTGCTTGAATGGGGGGGGGGGGGGGTGGATCACATGCCCACCAGCCCCCCTCCCAACAGCCAGATCTGAGGCGCTAGAGACTCTGTGGGAGTGATAGTGCTGATTTTCCAAGGTCATCTTAGCTCATAATCTAATAATCTTAACAACAAACACTGAAGCTTACTTTGCTGTTAGCTGTACATCACACTGTGACCCTGCTCTGGGTACACGGTACATGGATGGATGGCTATACCACTTTTCTGAATACCTTTGTCCTGGAGGTGACTCTGCACACCATACAATAAAACTTTATTGGTCTGCAGGAAGGCGATTTTGTTTTCCAGCAGCATTAGAAAAATAAGTCTCAGCACAATATTCCCCCTCTCCAACGATGGTCTGTTTAGTATATGTAAGATAGAAATGTGGAAGGTGCATTATTTAGTGCCGGTGGTTAGCCAGAGAGTTGGGTTAGTGTCCTTCAAGCTGGGTGAGGTTGGGAAACTGGAGGCGTTATACAGTAGGAGTAGAGCATTGTTGGAGAACTGCATAAGCAGAACGTTCTCCTCACCTGTACCAACTCCCTGTCGAGAGATCGGAGTACAGTTTGGACACCCGTGATTCCTTCCTTTGCTGCTCCTGAGGAGTCCTGTGACTGAGCTGGCTTTCCTTAGATTTGATCGGCCTCCATCCCCTTGATATTGCCTTGCAGAGCAGCGTTTCTCAAACCAGTCCTTGGAGACGCCCAGATGGTCCACATTTTGGTTCTCTCCCAATTCCCTGGGAGTTGGGAGGGAGCAAAAACCTGGACCGTCTTGGGGGTCCCTGAGGACTGGTTTGAGAAACGTTGCTCTAGAAAACAGCTGCATTGATCTAGTAAAACGTGGAGCTATTTGCTGCACCCTGAAGGACTTCCTCAACAACAGTAGCCCAATCTGCAATTTCCTGTAGACTCATGATGGCCTTGTCATTATGTAGACTTTGACCTGCTTATATACTCCTTCCGAGGACGGTGGCACGGTGGAGTTCAGCAGCAGTCTGTTCGCCCTGCAGTTCACCACCAGCTCCTTTGACTTTCTGACATTGAACACCAGGTGGTTCTCTGAATACCACCCAACTACACTGCTGCAGACTTCTGCACTCCACTTCTTTAATGCATCCTGTGATCTTCTGAAGATTTGCAGTGGCACAGACTTGTGTCTGATGTCTGTGGTGTAAACAGGAACGACGAAAGTACTGTCTCTTGGGGGTACCTAGTTGTGGCATCAGATATGCAGTTACTGCCGCAGACAAACTGTGCCAGATGGTGAGGTAATTTTGCGGCCCGGACAACACTGCCACCCTCAACTTGTGGGATTCCCTTTGGCTTCTCACCAAGGCAGAGAGCTTGTCTGTCTTGGCTAGGTCTCTATATTCTCTGGAGGAAAGTAGGCTTCGCAGTTGTTTCTCCTCCTGCAGTGTACAAGTGTGACTGGTCCCTGTGTTTGGGACCAGCATTGAATCTTTCAGTCTATGTGTCTCATGGACAGCAACAGACAGGTGAAAGCAAACTTGGGGGTCACAGTACAAGGTCAGCCAGTGTGCAGACCTGAGGCGTTATAGGTCTTGCTCAGGGGCCCAATGGCGGCATCACTCTGCTGATCCAGGGATTTCAAGGACCTTCCTGTCTTGGTCTTAACCCACTGAGCCATCTTTCCTAAAACATGTTGCTGGCAATGAGAAACCAAAGTAAACAATCTACTAGCACAGTGTTTCTTAACTCAGTCCTTGGACCCCCAGACAGTCCATGTTTTTGCTCCCTCCCAACTTGGCTTGGACTGGGAAATACAGTATTAGCAAAACCAACTGAAAAGAGAGAAAATAGGAATGAAAATAAGAAGAAAATGGCAAATAAGATGTAAATACAGAGCTGCCAACTATGGTACCATCTTGCTAATAGTAGCAAGGACTATTGGGTTTTGAGGATCAGCAGACAGTAGGGGATCCCGTCCAATTTGGTCCAATTTTTAGTGGGCAAACACTGAACATTTTGCTTGTGAAGTAATCTTTGGTGACCCCCACACTGAGGGAAACCAGTTGTGTTGGCAAGCAACTGTATTTAATGTATTTAAGCTGGATTTTGTCATTGGTGAGAGAATCAGTGGGATCTTCTCATGCTCGTCATGGTTAGTAATTTTGTTGGTACTTTTTGTGACGGACCTTGATCCAGGAGGTCATGAATTCCATCCCTCTGGTCTAAGCCTGTTGTTTACTGTGCAAGACCTCACTCACCCCTGGCTGTTCTCTCTTCTGCAGATGAGGATGAAGCCATGGTGTTTGCGACCAACTCCCTGCAGAGGAAGAAGAAGGGTCTGCCGGGCCTACGGCCAGCTTTGCAGAAGAACAAGCCCACGCTGCTGATCGGGCATCCCCAGGACTTCCGGCAGATCTCCTCCATCATCGACGTGGATATCCTGCCTGAGACGCACCGGCGCGTGCGCTTGCACAAGCATGGCTCTGAAAAGCCGTTGGGCTTCTACATCCGTGATGGGCTGAGCGTGCGCGTCACCCCGCAGGGTGTCGAGAAGGTTCCGGGCGTCTTCATCTCCCGCGTGGTGCGGGGCGGCCTGGCTGAGAGCACGGGGCTGTTGGCCGTCAATGATGAGATCCTGGAGGTCAACGGCATCGATGTGGCGGGCAAGTCCCTCGATCAGGTGACGGACATGATGGTGGCCAATAGCCACAACCTGATAGTGACGGTCAAGCCGGCCAACCAACGGAACAACGTGGTGCGCAGCAGCAAGGCCTCGGGCAACAGCTCTGGCTCAGGCTTCTCCCAGGACTCCACCCCCAGCCCCGCCTCCCAGTACACGAACCACTTCGGCAACAGCAGCATGGCGGAGGGGGATAGCGATGAAGATGGGGACCTCATCATTGAGAGTGACAGCCTGCCGCCCTATCTGCCTGCCACCTTCGTCGTCAACGGCAATGGCAGCCACGGCGATGCGCTGGTGGCGGCCGCCACACTAGAGCCCCTCCCCCAGAGCGCCTCCCTACACAGCGGTTCTCTGTCTGACAGCAAAGCTTCGCTTAGCTCCCTCAACACCCCCAACACCCCCACACACAATGGCAGCCCCAGCAAGGCCAGCAGCAGCCAGGAGAGCATGCATGAGGACGGCAACATCATCACACTGTGAAACGCAACACCGGGCCCCCCTCCCTACAGCATGCCACTCCCCTTTTCTATAGGTGGGAGGAGTTTGGACTGCCAAAAAAAGTCATGAAGGAACTGGAAACAATCTTAAAATCTATATAAGCCTCCACACACCCATAAACATCTACTCCCTGTTAAATAATTGAATTAATTCATTACCTCAACTGAGCTTGTTTAACTACAGAAGACCCGGTTACCTGATCAATAATGCCCGTAACAGCCTGGTGTTGCATCGTGGCTGTGACAGTTTGGTTCGGTCCACATGGTGGTCAGACACATTCCAGACACATAATTGGGTGGAGATGGGGTGCCGCTTGGATCGGGAACGGCATGCCGTGATCCCGGGAAGACTTTCCAAGGCACCGTGGGGAGCTGGACTAGCCTTAGCGTGTACTAGCTGGTTTAGCCACACTGCAGTGGACCTGCTGGCCGTTCGTGCGCAGCGGCAGTGCTGCCAGGCGTGCCGGCATCCATCGCATGCTCCGCGTGAAGCAGACTATTGACTGGTGGCCAGATTCCTCTGAAAGCGCGATACTGGATCCGGTTTTACTGCGGATAGAGACTCATTAGAGCATTAGTTTCCCAGTCATTGGGCTGTAGGAGGCCTCACTGCAGGATCCTACAGGAAACCTCCCCCTAGTTCATTTAATCAGGGTAATGGTACCATTAGCGTGTTGTTATTCGGTCTGTGAAACGCAGTGTGGTCACCTGCTCACTGTTGCTGCCCTCGTCTCTCTGGCTACTTTGCTAAATGTCCTTTATGTCCCTTTTTGTCCTGTCTCTCTTTTTAAAAAGCTTCCTTTTTACTATAAATGAAGGTGTGACATCGGACCTTCTAGGACACCGTCTGTTGGCACCTTCAGTTTCACTTTCATTTTCATGTTGTACTTAGGAATGTCCTGTAAACAAAAGCCCCACACATCTGCTCTCACTGTGTTCGCATGCACTGGAGGTTTGAGGAACAATCAGTGGAGTTGGAAGAACATTTTAATTTTTTTTAAACATGATTTTTTTTCATTAAACAATGATAATACTAATGATATAGTGAGAATGTAGCATGAAGGATTTACCTGAATACGATGGGGAGGGAGTGGGAGACCCCCCCCCCCCCAGACTTAGAGGCCTGTAGGTACTAGAGTCACTTTGTTTTAAATGATGTGTAGAGGAGTAGGTGATATGGCTGGATCGGTAGGTTACTCACGGTGAAGTTAACGATCAGAGCCCCAGATCGTTCGGGCCACGCTCACTCTTGGGTTAAGCAGTTCCACACACAGCCAAATGGATTGACTTAGGAGAAATGGTGGTGATTTTGATAAGCAAGGGTGGGAACGTCTTAATTGGATCAAAATGTTCTGACCCACAAAGCAGTTTGTTTAATGTTAGGCTTCACCCCCCCCCCCATCATCGAGTTAGTTGATCATTTCCTGATCCAGGTGCCCCAGAACTATGCTGGTATATCCGCTGTTTGCAGTGAAAGGATAATGATCAGGCAGATGGTGGAAGGAATAGCCATCGGACAGTAAATTGACTCGAGCTGAACTTTGTCCCTAGTGGTAGTTTGAGGTCATATGTGTGCAATAGCCTGGGTGTCACGTGAGCCCTGTTCTTTTTAATCCTCCCCGCCAGAACCCCTCATGCAATGAAGTTGTAATGTTGTCTCACTGTCTGGGCAGGTAGGATATCTCACATCTGTAGGTATATCTAATCCGGCTCCTTGTGATTCCCACGGTGATGACATCATAGTCACATGATGAGGAAATACCCCCCCCCCCATTGCAGGCATTGTTTTTATTAGTGAATCTTATGAAATTACGTTAGAAGCCAGTCATGTTTGTTTAGACACCCTTTAAAAGGCATTGTCTGACCCACTCGTCCCATTGGCCTTCTAGAATGTTCCACTTTCATCATGGAGACGTTCTTCTCTGGGGCACAACGTGTGCCATTTCCGGACCCCACGTCACACCGGCCACTGTATATTTAACATGATTTATAAATAATCTCCCCAGTCACTCTTTTAATACGAGCACATCACATTCCAGATTACCACATTTTTTTGGGGGAGGTGAAGAATTCCAAGTGGATATAATTATCTTAGGGATTATGTTTAGGATCTGGAACAAGCATGGCTGTGGGGCATCTTATAGCTCTTGAAGTCTTTTACTTGCGTATACGTGGCGTTTTACTGACAAATACTTTTTTTATGCTCAATATTTCTGCCATCTGAAAATACAAGGCAAGAAGGAAATGCAAATATTGAAGGTTGTTTCCTGGGCAGACAGTGATCTCAGAGTGTTTGTGTTTCTAGGTCCAGTGTCTCTGAGGGGAAAATTCCTGTCATGTTTGAAAAGCTCTGTACATGGATCACGAATGCCATGGGCTGTCTGCTCAGACAGCGTTACGATAACAGCTGTTTGAGACAGACAGAGGTGTGGTCGTTGTGCATGAATTTGGACAGGGCCTGTATCTCTGTGCTTTTTAAACTGTAGGTCATGATTTTGGCATTTTACCAGTGTGGAGGCTGGAGTTTCTGAGGAACCTGTGAAGTTCACTTGCAAGAGCCCTCATTTGCTGTTTAGTAAAGTGGCTATAACATAGATTTACCCCCCCCCCCTTGAAAATAACTTCTATGAAAGCTGCATAAGAGTATGCTTACATTTTTATATATTTTTAAGGTTGATTCTGCAGTCTGATCTCTGACAGAAATCAGTTTCAATTTATGTGCATCCCATTTGCCCTAAAGGTTAGGGGTCAAAGGTTAAAGGTGACTGCTGGGTACGTGAGGTCAGAGATGAAATGCTAAGGAAAGACAGGGAACAGTAAGTACACCAGAGTGAAATGTAAACCGAGTAATACCACGGTGAAGAAACAAATTTGTGGATGAATTGCTGGATTCACTAACGGGAGATGTAAATGACTACACGCATCAAACTCTCCAGTATCAGATAAAAATGCAAGTTATATGAACTTGCACATCAACTAACGACCCATGTTTTCTACTGATCTCATTATTAGAGTACTTAGAAAATAAAGGGAGGTTTTTTTAAAAAAATATATATATCTGGGGGGATTTTTGTAGGGATGTTTTTATATATGTACAAAAAACACGGACAGTATTTTTCATACTCTTGTACTTCTATTTGTATATGAGAATGACATTCGCTTCGTACTTCTTTGTCTACTAGGAAACAGAAATAAGAGGAACTTATTTATATTATTTAATGAATCTTTAATGAAGGGTTTGGGTGTACAATGCTGTGAATGTTACATAAATGTATGCTGATTAGAGAACACTATAATTTAAAGACAATAAACTATTTTAAAAAAGTTGTTGGTTCGTTTTATTCCACAGCTCGCATGTTCTGAAATTAAGAAACTGTGCATCCTGCAGGTCTGGGTGCACGCAGGCGTCCTGCAGGTCTGGGTGCACGCAGGCGTCCTGCAGGTCTGGGTGCACGCAGGCGTCCTGCAGGTCTGGGGGCACGGAGGCGTCCTTCAGGTCTGGGTGCACGCAGGCACCCTGCAAACTGTTAACTGGCTGGAAGGCCTGGCAGCATGGATCTGGATTTCTGGTCCACTGTCGGGTGCAGAGAGTTTAAACGCTGAGATCTATTTCGGTGACTTATGACCTCTGCCTTATTTGGGACATTTAATGGCCTCTTACCTGGGGGGTTGGGGTCAGCAGTCAGTTTCTAGGTCCCTCCGTCTCATTTCTGCTGACTGAGACAAAACTGTGTAACTGTGGTGTATAGCAGTGTTTCCTAAACCAGTCCTCAGGGCACACTGGACGGGCCCGTATTTTTGTTTTATCCCAGTTCCTGGCACACCTGTAAGGTATTTAGAGCTCCTGATTGCTTGGGTCAGGTGTTCTGGGAACTGGGATAAAACAAGAATGTGGATCTCCCCAGTGTGCCCTGAGGACTGGTTTGGGAAAGACTGGTGTATAGTATGTCATCCAACCATCCATTTTCTCTAACTGCTAACCCTATTCAGGATTGCGGGGCGTCCAGAGCCTATCCCTGAAGCTACAGGATCAAGATAGGAGACCCATTGCAGTATAGTACAGTATGTCCTGATTATGTGTAACATACATGCCCATATGCACCTTCTAACACAGGGCAGTCTGACAGGGTCAGTGGAGATAATTAGGTTACAGATGATGGATAGATAAGTATGTGAATGGGGCAGCCCTGTTCAGGCTGTGTGTGTGTGAGAGAGAGAGAGAGAGAGAGAGAGAGAGAGATCTGAGAACAAAGGGCTTTGTGAAGGAGAATGCTGCTCTCTTTCTCTGGTTGTTTGGGCCAGGGGTGTATATAGGGGTGGGACCACAGGGGAAATGGCCCTAGTTGGAAGCTGATTGGCCCGCAGTGTACCAATCCTCTGTCACTCACCAATTCAAAACATATCGTTGGCTAATGATAGGGTTGGCTCCTCTTATGCCCCCCTGAATCACCCCTGGTTTGTGCCCTTGTTCTGGATCAATACTGGGGCTGTTTCTATATTCACCGCTTTCTGCCAAATCATCTGGCCGGGCTGGAAGAGATGGACTGTTAGGAAAGGGGCCGCTCTCTCCCAGGAGGGGGCAACGTCTGGGCGGTCCAGTGGCGGGCCGGAGCAGATGACAGCAGCCGGCAGGTGGCGAGGGGGTGTCGGGTTTACCCAGTGCCCTGCGCGTGTCGCTTCTGCTCCCTCCAGCGCTACAAAACTCAGCTCAGACAGCATAATATTATGCTAATGGCAGAATGGCTGACTTGTCCCTTGACTCGCTCCTCTCCCTTGTAAGAGGGAAAGCGGCCTGGGGCAGCGCGGCACAAAGGTGGCTCTGTCTCCAGGCCGCCGGCATCCAATGGCCCTATTGTGAGTGGGGGCTGAATCCCCCCAACCGCCCGACCTGCTGGGTTATTAACAAAAAAAGAAAAAATGTGGAATGCACAGAGGGAAGTGTGTGTCAGGCCTCCCCCCGCACACATCATTTCCTGAACACTGCTACCGCTCTCTGCTGATAATTATGGTAATTATTCATAGGCCAAGTGCAAAGCTTTCTGGGAATCGGGCCCTGTCGCGTTAGGGGCAACCCTCGCATCATTACGCAACATCCATTAGCGCTAGTTGGTGACCCTATTAAGCCTGCGTTTCGTGATGCACGCTGAGTAATTATGTGTATGTAATCCCGCTGCCGCAACTCAATGTGTTAAACATTACGGGAACTGATGTCGGCTGCAGGGTATAATTTTCAGATTTTCGGCGAAATCGAGCAGCGCTGTGAAGACTCCTCCAGAACACGGTGATCCATCGTCGCTCCCGATCAATAACCATATCCCGTTTCACTTAGAATCAGCAGCATGCTGCTTTTTTTTATGATTCTCAGATACTCAGGGTATGTACAAAATGGCATACTGCGTTTGCTATGTAGTAGGCAAATCAGAGTACGCAAAGTCTGCAATATGTCCGAATTTTCAGCATGAAGGAAAGCAATTGATACCCTGATGACATACTACATTCTGCGAATCTGTGTCAAAGTTGCAGAGGATGTGCTACCTTTACATATTTAAGTTAAAAACAATACCCAGTTACATTAGTAGACTTGAATATGTATTTTTTTCATTGATGGTTTTTAACAGTTTTTAATTGCTGTAGGGGTTAGGTTACATTACTAGAAAACATTAGAAATCACTCCATATGTAAGCTGGTGACCGCAGTATATCTGCATGCATGCATACTGTCCTCATGCATACATACAGTATGTACTACATTAATAGTCAAGTAGTAGGTTTCTAACGAAATTTAGTATGTACTGTGTAAATATGCATATTCGGACGCACCCTCCGTGTTCACGTTCCTGTCGGCTGTGGCCCATAATGCATCTCTGCCCTTCGCCTGGGGCAGTGGTGGCGTTTCCAGCGGACCATTTCATCTTTGCTTTCAAAAACATGAAGTGCCTGTGACCATTGTGTGCGCGTTTACGCAATGAGCGCGTCATGGGTTTCTGCCAGGAAGGGACACAGAGTGACTCTGGCACATAGCTGCATAACAGCGCTGAAATCATTCAGAGATAAGCAGACCGGATCAAACTCGCCCTGCGAGTCCCTGTCGAGCCACTACCACATGCCGTGGTCACATACCAAACACAGAAATAAATCTCTGGTGGCATTTACATTATGTTTGCATATTCATTTAAATCTTAGCACACACTTAACATGAAAATATTTACCTGTCAGGATAAAAACATGTCCTGTCAGGACCTTCAATAGTGGGCCATTAAAAACTACACATAATAGCAGCTATTATATATTATTGTTTATACTTTGGTGTTTCAGATGGGCTTGCATACCCTGCCAGATTTAGGGGGGCAGCATTTAAGTGCCCTTACATATGTAAAATTGTGCGTAAAATTGGGAATTTCTAGAATTTCTAACTACTCCCATATTCATGCTATAAAATGCATATCAAAAGCACCATATTCCTTTACAGCAACAAAGTAGTTTCACCCATATATATGCCTTGTGTGGATAGTATAACAACATGCCAGTCATCAAGTTCAAATGAATTTATTTCTAAAAAAAAACTAATGTTGTACAGAGCATATTACAATTCACATTCACCCAGACTGGACAGCTCTGGGCACATAGTCTAGGCCTTATTCCAGAGTCGTGTGGGTTCCTCTCAAGTCGGGCTGGATTCAGCATTAGCTGGCCTGGCAGCAATGGGAGACCGGCTGGATTCAGGATGGAAAGCCCAGGAACGCTCCCTCCTTCCACTATGAGGAAGATGAAGAATTTTACTTATGGCTGCAGGTCACCAAGTATGACTCAGTTTGGGGAGGCGTGGGGCACTCCGCTCACCTGTCCGGGTTCTGAAGCTGTCTCACCCGGTGTCGTACCGTCGCCGGTGGTTGAGTCCGCGCTCTCCCTTCCCTTCACGTCGTCACCTCCAGCCCAGGGTCCGCATTCTCAGTTTTGAGTGTCACCTCCCCCTGGCTGCCCTGTCCTGCAGCCTCTCTCTGCCTCCGGAAGAGCCGCCGGTCCCGCTCCAGCTCCTCTCTCATCCGCGCCAACGCCTCCCTCTCTCTCTCTATGGCCATGGACTCCTGCTCCTGGGCCCTCCTCAGCTGCTCGATCGCCTGCCTCTCCCGCTGCAGCACTCCAGCTTCTAGCTCGCGTGCTCTCTTCATCTCCTCCTCCTGCGCCCTCCTTAACTGGTCCGTTAGCGCCCTCTGCTGTTCCAAAGCCCTGGCCTCCTGCTCCTGGGCTCTCCTCAGCTGCTCTGTCAACTCCCTCTCTCTCTCCAGTGCCCTAGCCTCCTGTTCCAAGGCCCTTCTGATCTGCTCCTGTTCAGACTGCCCAACAGTTATAACCTCCAGTATATCTGCAAGTGAGAGAAACAAGTTTATTCCCGTTTAGACCCTGCAAAGCCTAAGTGTGAATTCTGTTGTCGCACCATTACAGATAAGTGCCAGAGACTCATTTCTAAGCATGAAACAAAAACACACTGAAAAAGCATAAGTGGGAGATAAATGACCTGGATATTTCGTGGCGTTTCTACAAGTGTTTTGCAAAGTCGCCTGGTGCTTAAAAGCGCAGGGCGGCGCGGCGATCACTCCATCCTCCACCTGTCGCCTTTTTGTCCTGTCCTCCACATCGGCGTACTCGGCAGGGTGTCTTTTCCGTAAATGTTTCAGCAAATTGCTAGTGTTGCGGCGGTGCTGGATGTTCTCCAGACATATGAGGCACAGCGCTTTGTTGCCGTCCTCGTCGTCCTGGTAGTAGGTCCACACGGCGCTCCGCTTTTTGGACGTGGCTCCGGACAGGTAGCAGGTCTCGGCGGCGGCACCGGCGTCCCCAGCGGTCGGCGCCTCCTCCGCGAATCTCTCGTGTTTTGCGTCTTCTTCTACCGCTACGGAATCCAGCATTTCTGATGGAAACGATGATTTTATTTATTTATTTTGCAAAATAGGATTAGTGAACTGAGACCAAGTTTGACTGCACACCTTTGTTTACACGCTTAATTTAACACACTTTTACCCAAAGCTACGTACGAGTAAGGTAAACGGCACATCATCTGTGATACATATGGAGGAAAACTAACAAAGAGTGCAAAGAAAAACTACCTCATATACTGAAATAAAGGGAGATTCCGGAAGAAAAAAAAATACAGATCGAATACTGTAATAAATACACTGGGGTTTTTCCCACCAACAAACTCATCGGATTGTCAGTTTCACGCTTTTTCACGTTCAATCCTCTTACACATTAAACGGCAAAGTATAAGAAGATATGAACGATCAAACCTCAGAGGGTGTATGACTTACGATGCGTGCATAGAAACATTCATGCATGTATACATGTACAGATGAAGGTTTCTTTGTCCTTAATCGTCACCCAGCTGTGCGCGGTATGATACATACCTGGATAATCCCCGGTCTCCATTGCATGGTGGAAAGCCGTCACCGATGCCCCCTCAAACGGCCTTCTCTTCGCCTCGACGTCGGCAAATTCCGCCTGGTGCTTCGATCGCAGGTGCTTCAGCAGGTTGCTGGTATTACCACAGTGCTGGATGGTTTCCGAGCACACCAGGCACGTCGCCTTATTGGGATCCACGCCGTCCTGAAAATACGGCCACACTGCACTGCGTTTTCTCGACGCCATTATTCCAGCGGATTTCAATTTGGCCACATTGGAGCTCAGCCCACAACGCCGGGGGGCTTGTTTGCTGCCATCTATCGACGTGGGGGACAATCTACAGCAAGGAAGCGCACGTCCTCGGGGGACGCTGCAACCCAGCGCCTAGACCGCCTTGGAAGCCGAAGGGATCGCACCCCGTTATTTGAAATGCATAAATAATGAAGGATTAATTTGGCATTCTAAGCCAGAGTACATACTTAGAAGTATGTTTCTATGGGAGCTGATATTTCTATAAAATAATTTTAACTGTTTTATTGGAACGGAAGCTGGTTTCATGCAAAATAATGCTGTCTGCCCTGACGCATTTTTAATTAGCTGGTTTAAAACAGATTAAAATATTAACTCTATCAGTGCTTGAAGGGGAGGGGGGACAGGTACCCCCCTTGTTATTCAGTACCAGGTGCTGGTACTCCGCTTGTTATTCAGTACAAGCAGATATTGAGAGGTACCAGTACTCTGACGAGAAAAACAAAGAGGAGCTGGTACGGTGTACCAGTGAGTACTGATCCATTTCATGCACTAAACTCCATTCATAATTCTAACCACTTCTCCTGCTTACAGGGGGCCCGGAGCAAAGACCACAGGGCTGTGGTATCTGCAGAACAGGGCACATACACACTAACACACTACTGGAAATGCCAGTAAGTCTAACTGCTTCAGGAGGAAATCAGAGGACCTGGGAGAAACTTGCTCAAAACGGGAAGAACATGCAACCCCCCCCAATTAGAAAGATAGGATTCGAGCCTATCTTAAAAAAATCTTCACAAGTCACTCACTCCTAACATACTTAAAATATTTTTGGTTGTCACACAAACCCTGAAAATAGAACTTGTATGGTTATTACCATAAAAAGTTAACACTTAGTAATATGCAACATACTAATGTTGTTTGTTGTTATCACCTTTTTTTAAGAAGCTCAAAGATCTTCACAAGTTGCTTGTTACTCATGGACTTTAGACAAACACAGTAACACTCCAGGCCCCTTCAGTAATTTTATTCATCTTTGTATGAGTTTCATTTTTTATTAATCAAACCCTTCATGATGCTATGTGAATGGAGTGGGGAGTCAGGATTTCACCTTCAAGAAATGTCACTATATTGCATTAATCTAATTGATTGAATCTGTGTCACAGAAAATACATGGCAAGCGTCACTTTATCATCGTCCAGATTTCAACCTTGGACATGCCTGAAAAAAACCCACTTGGCGAGAGAAGGTGAGCCGGCATGGATGATTATGGCCGTCGTTGAAATGTAGCAGCGACAAATTCTGCAGCCTTAAATCCACGTGGAATTAATACTGAACCCAAAATATAAATTGATTAATAGAATGTATCCTCATTAGGGTTCTTACAAAGAATAAAGTTTGATTAAACTTTACAAAATGAATAAAGATATTCTGCTGACGAAGAGCCTAATTTATTTTTTAAAATCCCTTTTGGGGCTATTGTTTTAGACATTCCTGTCCGAAAGATGAACAGGTTAAGCCTGTATGGGGATATGAGCCTCAGCGCTCCTAAGTCAAATGCTCCTGGTATTCCAGGAGAACTCCGGTCAGCCACCTCTGGAGAACTTCCACACTCATACACAGCTCCATCAGACTTCATTCCTGCAGCCATTGTTTATAGTCAAGCAAAAAATGGCATTGTGCATAATTTCAAAATTGTGCTGGGGAGGGGGAAGAAAAAATGCTGTTTTAATTGACAGCACTCTGCTTGTGGGAGTTTTACTTGCACAAAAATGTTCTGAGAGCAGAGAGAGAGAACCAATCAGATTATACAGGAAGTGGGTCCAGGCAAGTAGAGGAGGCAGGACCAAGACATCTGATTGGTTGGTCCCACCTCCTCCGGTTGCTTGGACCCACCTCTGCTACAATCTGATTGGATATCTCTCTGAACTAAATCATTTTTGTTATTTTATAGTTTTGCTGTCTTTATAATTGATCTAAAAAATAAACCTTTCTATGGGTAGGTGTGTCCAAATTTTTGATGAACTATATGTGAAGCACTTTGGGCCAACTACTTTATAAGAAGTTGGTCAGCATCTGCCCAGTAAGCTTAGTTTAATATATAATGAGTATATGTAGGCAGTCAGGGGATTACATTTCCACTGCAAATACATTAGGGTGTTAAGAGCGACTGCTGTTGTCATTCAAAGCCAAGCACTTCTGCAAGTTCAGAGAGCACCTCCTTCTTAGGGAACTCATGTTTATGGAGCATCCAGGGACCTTTTTCAGAAAGCAGGATTACAGCCTGATAACTTGTTGGATTTAAGGTAGTCTGGGCTAAATGTGAGTGAATGAATATTAAGTCCATTTAGCCCAGGCTACCTTAAATCTGACATGTTATCCGGCTGAGCAAGAAATCCTGGCCCCAGGTCAGTAGACTACCCCAGCACTGATGTTTACCAACATTCAGACCATCCATTTATGGGGTGCCTCCTGTTGGCCACAGTCAGTACACTGAGAGAGGGGATGACCCCAGAAACCGCAATCCCACTCCTGCTCCCCACAGCCATATTTAAAGAAGAACGCCCCCCCCCCAGCATGCTTTGCCCCCGAGGGCAGTACTCATCCAAGTCATCCTTCCCTATGAACTGCTATTTTTATGAAGTTGTAGATATCTGAAAAACCATATGTTACAACACTCAGAAGGGTGGTCTGATAACAGCAGCAACAGACAAACAATACCCCTCCCCCCCAATCAGTCGGTGGACTGAATGAAAAAAATCAATCAGATGAAATGATTTTCACATGTATGTCTTTTAATAAAAATAATTCTGTCAAAATACAACAGAATACAATATTTCTTTTCCATATTTCCAGTACATAGGTAGGATTTTTTTTTCATTGTTATGTTTTTCTTAATAGTTTTTAAAGGTTTTCAAACATTCATGCTATGTAGAGAGGGTAACTTATGCCACAAAAGCTAAAGTCAAACTCAGTAAAATTAAAAAAAAAAATTGTGCACAGCTTGTAATAGTTGATCAGTTAAATTCCATTCCTTATGTCACTTGGGGTGTCTTTCTGAAGTGAACTTATTTATAATAAATTACCTTATTCCTATGTCTAAATCTTTAAAAGTGGGGCTTCAGTATATTGTGGCTGATTGCCTGGTGCCTCTTGGTGATGGGGAGCCCAGAGCTCCAAGCTGGATGACGCGACTATGCATGAGGACTCACTAAACCCTTGGGAGTTAGAGTCCCGACTCAGTTTTGGAGACTCTTCAAGGCTCCCAGCTGGCAGAAATGTCAGATGGCTCAATTATAAAGGTTCACTCAAGGATATGGAAAGTTGTGACAAACGTTCCTGTTTTTCTCGTGTCGGTCCAGGACGCGACTTGTGCGGTCGTCAAAATTAACCTCGCGGGGAGGTTCTCGCCACTCTCTTCTTAGGTCTGTAGTAGTACAGACCAGTTCAAGTAGGCTAGGTATATGCAAAATGACGTTCATTCGCATCTTTGTGAAAATACCAACGGTAAAACTCACCCAGGAGGTCAAGAGCATATTTAACGGAAGGACACCTGTCCTAAAGCCCGAAGTGTGACTCTGAAGAGGCACTGAGCAAACGGTCACTCTGTCGGGCTGAATTGGGGTGTTCTGCAGCAGCTGTAGGTCACTCCTACGGCCCCCTGTCCTCCCCGACATCCTGCCATGTTAGGGGGATGCCGTGGAGGAATGACTACCCTGATTGTGCCCAAAGAAGATGACCCTTTAAACTAAGCGTTAACTTTAAGGTGGAGCGACGGTAAGCCCTGGACAGGAGGAGTGGAAACTGTAGGGTTCAGAGATCTTCCTGTCTGGCAGCATCCAAAACGTGTCATTTCTGGAACCTGAAAGGCGCCAAGCCTCAATGGCCGTCGCCGACATGTGACCTCGCCACAAAACTGGACTAAGGTGTCGGAAAAAAAGGTCCTTGACCTGGGAGGGGCTCTATTTACCGAAACAGAAAGGGTGGGGGGTGGCGCTACAGTACAAACGTCTTTTTGGTAGAGATGGAGGAAGGACTTTAACTACGTCAGGACGCATAATACCAGGAGGAGGGAATGAACGAGGGCTTGGCATCGCTTTGACCTTGAGGGGGGTGCAGTCACACTGACAGTGTGTGACAGGGGTGGGGCTGTCTCAGGGGGGCACAGTTTGGGGTGAAGGATGTGGCCATGGGCCAGGGTTTCACATGCCAAGCAGTCCACGGCAAACGGAAACGACAGCACCACATACGGAGTCACCAAGTAAGGTAGATCCTCCCTCACACTGGGATTGGGGGCGTACAGCTTACAGGAGAACTGGGGTGGGCAATGAATTAAAATGTCTGAACGAAAAAAAATCAGGGGCCCTTAGTCAAAGCTCAGGTGAAAACTTGGTATAATACCCAATAATACCCTAATTTCATAAGATCAAACACGGAAACGTCAAGACAGTCATATCAGAGGAGTTGGCGACACAAAACAGGAGACTAGAGAGATCTAGCAAAGGGACTTGGAGAAACAACAACTGTGAGACGAAAGGACTCAATAAAAGCTAAAGGAAAGCGACTGATTGGTGACGCAGTCAGCTCACTATCGACCTGCTCCTGCGGCTTCGGCGATCCACAGGCGCACCGCACTTCTCCAGAAACCGCGAACATAGAATCCATATACATGGATGACGGTGAAGCCTATCGACTACATCAACCCGCCTTCCGTCAAAAATGAAAAGCATTACTTCTTTCCGAAGTGGCTGTCAGATTCATGTATGACAGCTGTATTCAGGTCTAGTAATGCTATATCTACATTTAAAACCGGAACTGCCCAAAATGCAGAATGCTATAACATTATGACCTAGTTACAGAAACTCAGTCTCATATATATATATATATATATATCACACACACACACATATATATACATATGTATATATGTATATGTATATATACGTATATATGAAAAAAAAAATCACTGTTAATCTTCAAAATTTGAAGCCCATTTAAACAGGCTAGATAAATGGATAAGATGTTAAACAGTCATCACAGTCTTTAAATTAACAGCGATATTTGGCATGTTAGTAAACCTGATCCTTGACCTTATTTCAATATTTAGGAAATAGAAAGAGTAGAAATGAACATTGTGTCCTACATTTAATAAAAAGCAACAGGTCACCACAGGATGATGGGTGACTGGAGTTTCCCAGCATGCATTACCAGCATCCTGTGGCCAGAGTTTCGTCTCTCTAGAAATCCTTTATTTCAAGTATAAAGGGGCGACTTCTATTTTTTAGTATTAACCAAAAAGCGAAAACAAATTCTTCATTTTTACATGTAATGATGTCATCCCAGGTTAGCAGCCAGTGTAATTATGGTCAGGGGTCAGAAGATCGTCCGTAAGAGAGACACACTCACGGAGATACCAGCGGTTCATCCCGGGAGGATACATACTAGTCAGGAAGTGACGGTGAAGTCAGCGCATCGCGCCTGATGTCATTCCAATCATTTTCCAAATATCATGGACCTTTAATAAGGCCCTGGTCTGGTGGAACTAGACGGCGCTGTGGTGCGGTGGGAGGCCCTGGTCTGGTGGGACTAGACGGAGTTGTGGTGCGGTGGTCTGGCACCCCCGAGAGAGCCAGCAAGGCGCCGGCAAGATGGCGTACAGTGTCGCTGGCTGGCGGCTGTGGGCCCCGACTCTCCAGCCGCCATTGCCGCAACAATTTCAGTTTATCACAATCCCACATATCTGGTAAAAGAGCTAAAAATCAGGCACACCACAGAGTCACTGTACTGCTGGTAAGACAAAATGAGCTTCCAGAACATTCCATGCTGAAATTAAATATGCGTTTCGTGTACCTGAGTTCTGGGTGAGAGAAACCAAAAGGACTTCACTTAATTACAATGATGTCTTTATCTTATTATCAATATAATTAATACGGCATACACAAATTTAAAATAGTATGCGAGGAATTTGATTCCGCCCTTAAAAAACAAAAGGAACTAGAAATTTCCAAGATGAGCACAACAACGAATGACAAAATAAAAACTAAAAAAAAACTAGATGAACAGAATAATAATAATGTTTAAATAGTGTCACACAATCTGTATTTGATAATACTAAATTTAAAAAGAAGCCTTTTTCATGTACTGTATTATTAACCCACACACCCCCCGACCTCCCAATACATCCACCGGCTGTCAAACGGCACACCAACTGAAAGTCATGCTGTCCTATGTCACGATGGCCAAGGAGTGGAAAGTCCTCTTTCTTAGCTGTCCTGTACAGTGCCTGAAGAAAAAAGAACAAGGCAGATTAAGTAGCTTGTAGTTCTACACTTAATCCACTGGGATAAGTCAGGTTTAGCAGCTTGCTTTAGGTTGCCCTTTTGGAACTGTATCCTGCAATCTAATATTACAGAAATGATGTATTCTGGCATCATTAGAAATGTGTAATACCATTTATAACCAGCAGATGGAAACCAAGCCAAGATAGAAGCAGTCAGTATTGTTCTAGAAGTTACTGACGACCAAACAAGGAAACCAAGGACATTAGAGGAAGCTTAAACATCTGGTAGAAAATAGGATCTTGTTTGCTACATCATGACAGATGATAGTATGGCCCAGTGGTTCTCAAAGTCGGTCCGCTGGCCCCACTGCCCTGCTTGTTTTCCTGCTATCCCTGCCCCAGCTGTCATTCAGCTTCTGATTGACTGAACACACCTGATCCAGGTAATCAGCAGTGTGCAGGGCAGGGATAGCTGGAAAACAAGCAGGGCAGTGGGGCCTGAGGACCGACTTTGAGAACCACTGGTATGGTCTAAGCACTGCGTCGGGGTTATGGCACCTGGACTTAGGAGGCCATACATTTGCTGGGACAGTGGAGGGATGTGGACACTTTGTGGGGACCAGAAGGGACAGACATCGACAGGTTTATTGGCAGGTTTATCGGCAGACTCACTGTGGCTGGGGTTAGTGCAAAAAGCTGTCGATTCTGGCGAAGGAGCAGGACCCGGCGCGGACGCGGGCCATCAGCTGGACGCACTCGTTGGCCTGGGCCAGCGCCAGCATCAGGGGGGGCTGTTTCGGCAGGTTCTGAGACTCTGAGGACCCGGGGGGGGGGGGGGGGGGGATTTGAGATGGTTTAACTCAGGACAATGACTGTCTGAAAATATAGGACATGTCTACAGGACTTTGCTGTCGTTTGTGAGCGAGCTGGTGGAGATTAATGGCCGCAGGTTTGCTCGTCCTTGTCCTGCATACTAGGCCCTTACCCAGGATGGCGCTGTTGAGGGCAGAGCAGATCGACTCCCTCTGCGTGGGATCCAGCTGCTGCCCAACCGGGCAGTTCCAAGGGTCTGCGTAGGCTAACAGGCTAAAGGCATCCTGAGAGACAGACGGAAAGAGGGAGACAGAGAAGGAGAGGAGGAGATGGAGAGAGGAACCGAACGGAAAAGTTAGACCGAGAGAGAGTGACTGGACTGGCAGCTGGTGGCCCGGTGGAGCGGCGCCGGGTTCCATGTGGCTCATGTGATGCCTCGCACCTGCAGCATCTTCTTGTGCGTGGGGTTCTTGCCGTAATCCCGGCACAGCTGCTCATTCAGCGCCTGCAACTCGCGGCCGAACTGGATCATCCGCTCGGTTGCAGCCAGGTTCCCCCCGCAGAGCTGCCTGGAGGTGCTGCCATCCTCTGTGTGTGTGACAGGGGGAGAAGCGTCTCGGAGCTTTCGCTACAGCATGACCTTCTTGGTGACAGTGATAACAGCCGGCCGGGTACATGATTTAATATCCGACAGGGGCGTTGATGACAAACAGCAGAGACTGTGCTAATTCTCAGCATCTACAAACATGTGCCAGGGAGGGAGGGAGTCCTGAAATACAACTAGAGAGAGACAGAGCAGCACAGTGTGGTAGAGAGCAACAGAGATTGAGACACAGCTACAGAGAGAGATACAAAGACAGAGATACAGGCATACAGAGTGACCCAGAGAGACACAGAGAAAGTTGCAGAGAGCGAGACAGAATGACAGATTTATGCAGAGTCAGAGAGACAGACTGACACAGAGCAAGACAAAGACATAGAGACAGAGAGACATGGAGATGCAGAGCAACCCAGTGAGACACAGACAGAGAGACTGACACAGACAAAGAGACTGACACAGACAAAGAGACTGACACAGACAGAGACAGAACAGGACAGAGACATGGAGAGAGACAAAGAATGAGACAGAATGAGACAAAGATGGAGAAAGAGAGAAAGACAGCGACCCAAGAGACACAGAGAAAGTGGCACCGAGAGAGACAGAGAGACAAAGACACAGAAAGAGCGACAGAGAGAGACAGTGAGTGAGAATGATTGTACTGAACAGCAGAGGCACAGAGTCACACGGCAGGATGTCACACTGACGCACACTTTGATATCCACACTACAATGCAACAGATGCCACTGGCCTCAGCAGCCAGGGAGGCGGACGGGAGGCGGCGAGGAGATAGAGGGGGGGTCACCGCAAGAAGAGCGGTTACAGCAGAGGGCTGGAGAGTAAGAGGCCGCCTACCTGCCAGGCCGTTTCCCAGGCCGTGCCCGTCAGTCTGCAGGATCTCCTCATGCTTGTAGGTGCCGTTGACGATCCGTGCAGATGAGGCGTCGGCCAGGCCGTTGGTGTAGTGCTCCGCCTCGATCTCCATCTCGCTGTCGCTGTGGAGAGCACCCGGACACACGCGCACACACACACACGCGTACACACATACACACACACACACACGGATGGGGAGCAGAATTCAGCCTGCAGTTTTAATTCCTGCTCAGTCTGCGGGCTGCTGTGCTGCTGAAGCAGAAAGTGACCCAGCTGGACACACTTATTATGTCAGCGCTCAACACAGAGATCACTTCATTAATTCATCATTCCTCAGCCAATGAGTCATTATTTATAAACATAATGGCCTTGGGACAAACTGTCCACAAGGGGGCACCCGATTTAACCATGACCTACAGTATGTCTTCATCCCTGCCGTGAATGTAAAGTGGGTAAGGGGAATATCAGGCCAAGGACACTATGGGGGACGGGGGCCTCCCCCACCTACCCTAACCCCCATCCAGGGGCCTCCGCACCCAGGGGCCTCCCCCACCTACCCTAACCCGCACCCAGGGGCCTCCCCCACCTACCCTAACCCGCACCCAGGGGTTACTCACTTTCCACTATACTCAGCCCACGTCTCCCACACACAGCACCCTACGCCCGTTAAAGTGCTCCCTACCTTTACCATGACCTCACCGCACATCACAGACACATAGCACGTACTCGGACCTCATCATACTCCTATCATCATACCAGCCCCAGCCGTTCACCTGGTCTCTTGATTGCTGGTGCCGCTGTGAGCTTGGGACTTTGTGGAGTCGGTGGAGTTGGACTCAGAGTAGTTGACGGAGGAGGGGGAAGAGGAGGAGGAAGAGGAGGCTGAGCTGACGCCGGGGTATTTGCTGTTGCTCTTGTTCTTGCTGGTGACTCCATTGCTGCAGGTGGGGCTGTCTGTGGGTTGAGATGGGGGCAGGAGAGACATGGGGGGCCAGAGCTGCAGCATTTCAGCACAACCTCTAGGGGGCAGCCCAGTCCCACAGCCTGCAGCCAATACACATGTACACATTACCTGTGGTGTGCAAGTGTGGGTTGGTGGCTCCGTGCCGGGGACTTAGGCTGGGGGAGCTGGGGTAGCTGTTCTGGGACTTGGGGGAGCGCGTACCAAAGCAGCGGACCTCGCTGTCTGTACCGTTCACCATCTCCACAAACTGCCGGCACCTGGGGAACGCAATGGCACATTGACTAATCATACGAATGGGTTCCCGGTGCGCCGCCCTGGTGGTGGGCAGGTGACGCAGGTTCGGGAATTGCAAAAATATTTTTGGTGACGCTATAGCTAACTGTGACTTGACGAGCTGTGAGAGTTCCCCTCCCCATAGCCTTAATCAGACCTAAGCAGATGCTGTAATCTCAAGAGCGTTCAGACACCCCACCCAGCAGCAGGGTGTGAAAGCAGTGCCACCCCTCCCCCACCCCAGAGGTCACACGGCTCCTCGACCCACTGGCTGGTGTCTCTGCTCACTCCATACACCCACATATACCTGTGCTTCTTCCATGAAATTCTCAAAGATATACTGAAGGTTTTCTACTGCTTGTTATGCTGTTCCATACACACCACCTGTCAGTCCCCTACCACACAAGAACCTTAATGCTGGATGGGTGTTCAGTACACACCACCTGTCAGTCCCCTACCACACAAGAACCTTAATGCTGGATGGGTGTTCAGTACACACCACCTGTCAGT